TAAAATTTACTCGTCGAAAAAATTTACATGACCAAAAATGTCCATCACGTTTAGATTTAACATTTCCTCGACGAATTTCTCGTTTGATCAGGATAGCAATGACAAGAAGAAGCTGATTAAATGACAAAAAAGAAACACGAAAATTTAGCAAATATATGTTTTTATTTTCCACTCACTGTCAATCCAACAAGACTGAGAATGAGAGCAGCTGATATACCCAATGATTCTTTCTTTGGTTCAATAGTTGTTGTTGTCGACATTATATTTTATTTTATCTAAAACAATAGATTCCGTATTATTATTTAACACAATAAATCTATGAATTTTTAATTAGTGACACTCTAAACTTTCATCTTGTTTATTTTATTTGTCAATTGGATTATGAATGTTTTTTTTAATAAACATTCATTAATCTTAGTATTAATTATGTTGTTCAAGTGAATCGGCTTTGTAATGAACAATGGAGTTTTATTTGTAAGATGGAAAGATTCTTTTATAAAATATTAAATCATAAAGCAACCTGACAGACATAAACAGTCTATCTTTTATTGAATCAATAACATTATTCGTAATGTTATTACCATCACTTCATTCTTTCGATTAATTGATAGATAAGAAAATGAAAACCAAAATAAAATTCAATATCGTAGAAAGTCAATCAAGAATTTTAATCGATGTATTTCTTTTTAAAATAGAATATTACTTTCACAAGTATTTTACATTAATTTTAGATTATCTAAAACAAATATAAAAAACAAATAAATTATTGTAAATTTGATAACGATGAATCAAAATAAATTTTTAATTCATTTAATGTCGTTCGAATAAGTTTAACTCGAATACTCGATAAATTTAAACACTTATGAGCTCTACAAAATAATATGTATATATTTACATATACTATTTCATTTAAACATACTACCAACGATGACAATCACTCATAGAAAAGTAATAGTTATTTTCCAAATGTGGTGCTTCATACCAAAGAACATCAATCGGTGGAATTCGATCAAAATTCATTGTCTACAACCACTTTTTTTTTTATCAACAAAACAAAACTATCCATTTACTATTACTTGAATAGTTTCCATAAATGATTGTACTTTATCTTCATCAAATATTGATTGTAACGGACGATTAATTTCATTCATTGGAATATCATAAACTTCATTAATTAATGAAGTTTATGATATTCCA